AGGGTTGCGTGTGGAGTTTTTCAGCTATTAGAAGGTGTTTCCCCTGTGTGTGTGTGATTTTGAGGATGTGGTATTAGATTACAGCCTTTGTGTATATAGTATCATATTCTGAGGTTGAACATATCCAGTTGGGAAAAACTATGATTGTATACAGACATTTTGCTAAACAACAGTTTTTTTGGGTTTCCAGTTTTGCAGCTGAACATGCAAAAGACCACAGTAAACATGTTACTCTATACGCCAGCAACAGTTTTGACTGTAGTGTTTTCAGTTTTTTGCTGTAGTGTGTAATGACTGCTCAGTGTCTATGTGATGACTGGCTTGATGCGTGATCTGAAAGCAGTGTTTGGTTTTGTGCGAAGATAAAATGGATTTGAGTAGATTTGTTTAATTTTCTGCAAGATGAGTCAAAGGTTTTGTGAATGTAGCTTGAAAATTGGGTTTTGTGTTTATGGTTTTGAGAAAATGGAAGGTTTTAGGAAATTTGCTTTAACAGTTTCAGAAAAGCTGTAACTGACAGATGGCTGTCCAGCCACAGACAGCAGCTTCCCTCTTTATGGCCAGTGCGTCTGGGTGGTGCTATACGCAAGCTAAGAGCACGAGGGCGGACATCACTGTCATCAGGGCCTGCTGGGTAATTAGAGTGGCAACCAGGAAGAAGTGACACATACAGTATACACCGGAGCCTCCCAGCTAGCAACAGAAAGAACTGCCAGGAGGACAATAAACTCAGAGTGAGACGGTGTAATGCGTGAATACTGGTCCCCCTGCTATTACACAAATTATGCCACAGATTAAGAGTCCGGTGCTTTAACCATTACTCCCCCTGCTGTTATATTTAGTACATTACAGCCCTTGAATTGTCCGACTTCACAGCACTGCAGCATTTTCATACCCGAGCATTTCGTTTTCCGATTTGTGTAGGCGTGCGCCAGCAGGGCCGCGGCTCGGATCTGAACCCACGACCTTGCAGCGTAGAGCACGAACAAACGTCTACTCTTGGTGGGAGGAGGCTCGGAAACCACAGCCTGGGCAGCACGCGCTGCCGGTCGCCATGGAAACACTGGCCGAATCTCTGAAACTGGAGGAAGCCTGGCGTACTGACATCTCACTCACAAAACTCCTGGAGTAATGAAACAGGAAGGAGGTGATCGGGTGCCCTTCTTGGGGGGGGCACCGAGTGTACGTATTTAAATGCATCCCACAAAGAGACTGGGGGACATAGTGTAACACCCTGAAGACAAACTTGGGACAGGGGCCAGGGGCCTGATCATAAGCCCCCAGGACCTGACAGCATTAAAAGCCCCCAGGGCCAATCTGAGGTATCGCTCCACCCTGGAGACGCAGATCCTTAGCTGGCCAGTAAGAGGCGTTGTCTCATCCAGCCAGACCCGTGGAATTCATCTAAAATGAAAAGGCAAGGCAGAAATGAATATTTCCTATAATAATTGTGCGTGTGTCACTTTCTGTGATCATGTACACACCGGAGTTTGAATGAGCCGCAAAGCGTGCGAACAGATACATGCAGGGGACAGTGGATCCCTCCATGCACCCAGGCGTGACAGTGTGCACAAACCTTTCAAAGGGATGCTATGTGGAATGATCCTTCCCCCTGCTTTTCCCAGGAGTTTGATTAAACTTGTCAAAAAGAAGCATTTCAAAAATACCATTTCCAGCGATAGACCTCACTGGTGGGTTAAGGAAAGTAACAGCGTTTCTATGGCGATGGTGAGTCTTTAGAACGCACTGTGCCTCTGAAGCCCTAACCCCCCCACCACCACCCTCCCATATCTCCCTGTCCAATACCAACCCAACGCAGTGTGACCGACACGCAGACCAGACATAGAATCAAACAATCACACCAGCTGCTAGCCTGGCATTGAGACTGCGCCATTGGGCAGGGTGTCCACATGCAAGGAGGAGGGGCTCTGGATGGCCCTTCGAACCCACATCCCTCTAAGCAGAGAGAGGCCCAGATACGAATTCACAGAGAAGAGGGCAGCCTACATAAGCCCCCGACCCTTATTTGTATGTGTGACATCATGGCCAGAAGGGGGGGATGTCAATCTGGGTAGGGAGGGTCAGGTGACCGTGAAGCTTGGCATTAATTGGTTCCAGCTGTCCCATTCACCTGGGTGTGCGTACGTGTTAGCAAGTTAGCATGTTAGCATGTTCTTCTGACCGGATACTTTTTCTCCTGCACAATACCTGGAAATAAACCTCCTGGTCCTTTGGGGTTTCCCCATGTCACGTGGCTTTAATTAGGATCATGCTGGATAACGTCCTGTCATTGTGCCCCCCGCCCCCCCCGGCCGCTGGTTTTAAAGAACATGTCCTTCCACCACATGCACAGATAGACTGAAAGCTTGCAGTCAGCATGCATGTTCTCTCAGGAATATCTGAAAACAATGTCAGACGGATAAACGTGCACCCCCTCACTCCCGTCTCCTCAGTGCCTAGAGGGGCTCACTGGCAGCTTGTTGGCCATGTCCTCCTGCACTCTGAGCTACAGGGGAACAGTGTGGGTTTTATTCCCAATTTTTCTGGCACCCAGCAAATGGAAGAATTCACTCCTCCTATCTGTTACAGATGGAGAGCCGGCGAAAAGGAGGTTTCTTCTATTTGGCCAGAAAAACTGTCTGATTTTTACTTTGTGAAGGCTTTGTGTGCCTCGTTCTGTCCACGTGCTTCCAGTAGGTGGCAGAGTGGTTAAGGAGCCACACTTCACTATGCTTCCTTTTTATATTCAGCTGCTGGGACCCACATTATATAATATAAAATAGAGACATAAGGACTGCCCAAAAAATCCAGCTATTCACCTAAAAATCAAATCAGTATCTAACATCTGTATTTGTTTCCCCCATTTACATGCAACATCTTTTCTATGTTCTTTAAATGTATTTACATTTTGAATATTTCTTCAAGACACAATTATTAAGAGAATCTGATTAAATACTGAGATGCAGAGAGCTGTCTCCCACTTCCCAACACTGCCGCTTTTTGCCAGCCAAGGAAGTCTGCAGTTAATTTGGAGTTAGTCTGCCGAAGTTACATGCAGTACAGATGGTAAGCTTCTCCCGAGAAGCGTTTGTAAATGCTGCAGCACAGAAGCACTGAGCCTTTACAGAGCATGTGCAGAGTCCAGGGATGGCTGAAAAACGTACAGTCATGTCCGGACCAGACTGCCGATCCAACACAAGTGAGGCAGCATCCCAGCAAACCAAGGGAGAAGGTTCTAGAACAGGCTAACTTTAAGGGATGCTGAACTGAACAACAATCTGCTGCTCATTCCTGGGCTTGTAGCTTGCTGAAGGGAGAGACTTGTGTTCTCAGCATGGAGAGAGCGCTTGGTTATGTCTGACTGACAGCTCAGGGACCGTCTAAAAAGACTGCTGCTATTTTCCTCTGCTGTGAAGGAATGACGGAGCCAATGCCGCTGCTCCCAGTCCCTGGGGTTTCAATCTCACATAAACACATTTGTGCCACTAACAGGAATCCTTTTCATAAAACTATGAAATTCAGAGCACAGCTGAACGTGAGATTCAGTGCCAAGCCCGAGGGAAACAGTGCCTAGAAATTAAGTAATCAGAACGGATGTACGGTTAATAATTAAAGATATCTGACTGTTCTTTTCCAGACCCAGGTGTGATAAGTGTGATAAGTGGCTCCCTGCTGCGGTCACAATGGATGGGTTCCATGCAGAGACATTGACTGTCCCCTAAGGGGAGCCGTGCACTCACTGTGTGAAACTGCTGATTCCCATCCGTCACATCCAGCGGCTATGAGTCACACCCCCACTGGACCATTGGTATGGGCAGCCACCCTGCTTTTCAAACCAGCACACCGTACATGGCTATTATTGTACACTGCACTGTTTTGATGTGTATTGTATGAGTCTATGGACACGCCCATCTTCCATGAACGTTCAAATGTCCGACAATGAAGTAGCTATTAAAAACATCAGGTGTCCTGCTTGGACGTCTCAGAGTCAAGGTTGGGATTTTTGTTTTCTGGGAGCCCTGGTGCTGAGACAAGGACAGAGCTTCTGTTATCCAGAAAAAGACGGAAATTTGCCAAACGGCGACAAGGTCGTCAGGTGGGCTTTTGAACAGTGGACAGCCAATCAGAGCCTTTAGGGCACGTGCAGCTGCTTGTGGATGCGGGCTCGCGGAGGGGGGTGGGTAATTCGGACTCGAATGCATGAATGAGACTTGGGACACCCCCCCTCAGATGTTCAGGGACGGGTGGTCACGGATGGATAAGCGCCCTCCCTGATTTCAGTTAGGATTTCGGTAGTCCCACGGACAGGAAATATCTGCCCAGATACATGTGAGCAAGAATCGCTGCCTTTCAGCATCGTCAAACAGGTGACCCGACAGTAAACACACGCCGGATCACACACCTTATTCACCGCTAAGGCTACTACAGGAGCGCTCGTAGTTATACTGTATAGTTACTCCCACGATGCTCCTGGGCAAAGATGAAGACAAGCGATCTCAACACGAGCACTAAGCCAAGCGATCTTGAATCGATTAGCGTAGATAGTCTTGGAAACAAGCAACAAAACAGTCCCGTCAATACGAATGAATAACCGACCACTGATAAATTACATAGATCGCCATTTAAAATCGGGGTCCTGTGAGGCAAATGCATTTCATGGCTCCTGTTACCGCATAAAATTAGACTAAAAACCTGTGTGTCACATATCACATACTAGCCAACTCTCTAATAGGAACACAATTTTAAATAAAAATTTCGCACAAAGAGCAATACCGTATGCCTGGAAGTTACTTATGACATTATTGCCCCCGTCTGTAATGTCTGACATATAATGGTAGAAACTTCAAAGTTCAGTTCCCCCACGGACCTGAAGTCTTTCAGTTCGGTCGTGCACAAAAGGTATAGATGCAACCGGATCCGGGGTCTGTAAACTTGCATTCAACTCCAGCTCACTTAAAACGCGAAAGCCTTTTAAACAAAGGAAATGCGGACGCACTCACCACGCTTCCTCAGCACATAGTCCCTGGACCTTCAGTCTCCATCTGCAGTCACGATCGGCCGGAGGAGACCTCTCTCCCACCCAAAGGCACGGAGGACAGCAATTCTTTGTTTTACATCTTCCCCGGGGAAGTAGCCTGCCGCAGCCCCGCAGATCAGGGCGGAGATGTTGGAGCTCCGGAGCGACGCTGACGCCCAGCGCCGCGATGTCCTGGCCGGGATCCGCAGCCGCGGAGCGCCCCAGTCCGCTGATGATCTCAATGCATGATCTCAATGCGTATGAACAAAGTTTGCGGCCAGGATGGCGAAGTCGCCGCCTTCCGTGCACATCTGCCGTGTCCTGCCTTTTAATGCATGATCACGAATGCTCATGATCATCGGTATCTCACAAAATGTCAACCTTTTATCCAGCACTTAGCAGATTTTACATCACTCGTCTCTATAGTAACCAGGTACAGAAATACACCTAATAGCTTCAAATTTCATTTTTAAAATAGCCTACTGGCTGTTTTCCGAGCTTCGATGTATTTTCATCCTGAATGTCAGTCTCCACATCTCTGCATCCTTTTTCCGTTAATCGCGGTTTACTGCCTGGTCTAACAATATAGCAGCAAGTTAATTTTTAGTCTTGAAAAGAGAGTGTTTGCGGAGTGGTCTTTGTCGGAGGGTTGAACTCAGGAAAAGCACGCTGAGGAATCTCAAAATATAGCGGCCGAATCACGATGAGCTGGCATGCCCCATCAGATTTTCTTTCTGGATGCAACTCTGTAAATGAATGGAAAATAAAGCAAATGAAATAAAAACAAGCTCCATAATATACACGAACTGTGGTCATTTAAAGGTGACAGACCCCACTCTACTGGGGAGCTGAATTACCTGCCTGCAGTGATCGAGATAAATACGCTACTTCTGATTAAAATCAACTTGCTAATCGACCTCGGGACCAAACCCCCCCCCCCCCCCCCCCCCCCCCCCCCCCCCCCCCCCCCCCCCCCACCGCGGTGGTTGATAAGCTTCATCTAGACGCAGACACCCGCCTGCCCATCTAACGGAATCTGACGGAATATTAATTCAGTTCTCCTTTTCGCCGACTTTCCATCTGTAACAGAAATGTTCTAATTACAAATTCATTTATGTTCTATACTACACTCTGAGAAAAAAGTGTAAAATTTTCTACCTTTGCTTGTCACTGGGGCTGTACCATTAGCTGTAGATAATTGTACCTTTTAAGGTACAGTAATAGACTCTGAGGAACATTTCTACATCATTGATGGTATGTTAATTCTGTTTGTACCTTCGAGATGTTCCACAGAGTCAATTTCTGTAAATTAAACTGTATATTTACAAGGGTACAGCCCCAGTGTCAAGCAAAGGTACACATTTTACCCTTTCTTCTGAGAGTGTAAGGACATTGGAATCAGACTTTGTCTCTGGAGAAGGTCATGGTGGCTTCCTGGAACAGCTCTTGACCCATGTCTCATTGGAGGGCCTTGCAGTCAGAAGTGAAGCTCATTTCAGACCATAATTGCACAGCTGCAATCTGTAATGGGTTTCATCAATCTGTTTATGAATCTGTATATAGATTTATCAATCTCTATCAAGATTTTACCATTCTGTAATGGGGCTTCTATATGTAACGAGACTTTTTCAATATGTAACATAAGAAATTTACAAACGAGAGAAGGCCATTCGGCCCATCAAGCACGTTTGGGAAGAACTTATCTAATAGCTCAGAGTTGTTAAAATCTTATCTAGCTCTGATTTAAATGAACCCAAGGTTTTAGCTTGCGCTACCCTAGCAGGAAGACTATTCCATACTCTAACTACATGCTGTGTAAAGAAGTGTTTTCTCAAATTCATTTTAAAATGTTCTTCCGCTAATATTCACTCATGGCCACGAGTTCTTGTATTTAAATTAAACTAATATTGAAATAGCCATTTGGCTGAACAGCATCTAGACCTGTTAGAATCTTATATACTTATATCTTATATCTTAGTTCACTGTACTAAAATGGCCCCCACAGTCACCAGTGGCCTGTACTACGAAGCGGGGTTACTGACTTATCGGGGTAACTTGTTGGATTTAAGGTAGTCTGGGCAAAATGTAAGTGAGCGAATATGAAGTCCATTTAAACTGTGGTACCTTAAATCTGACAAGTTACCCCGATAAGCCAGTAACCCCGCTTCGTAGTACAGGCTACAGATCTCAACCCAATAGAGCATCTTTGGGATGTGGTGGAACGGGAGCTTCGTGCCCTGGATGTGCATCCCACAAATCTCCATCAACTGCAAGATGCTATCCTATCAATATGGGCCAACATTTCTAAAGAATGCTTTCAGCACCTTGTTGAATCAATGCCACGTAGAATTAAGGCAGTTCTGAAGGCGAAAGGGGGTCAAACACCGTATTAGTATGGTGTTCCTAATAATCCTTTAGGTGAGTGTATGTTAAATTTCATCTGCCAGGTATCAGCCCAGTCGCTAATTAAATCACAATCCCGTTGTAGTCTCTGTGCTGCTTGTTCAGTATCTGTTACACCACCCACTTTGGTGTCATCTGCATATTTAACCAGCTTACTGTATGTGTCAATATCATTAATATAAATTAGGAACAATAATGGTCCTAAAATTGAACCCTGCGGTACCCCACTATGAACGCAGGCCCACTGTGACATTGTGCCACTAATAACTACTCGCTGCTTGCTGTCTGCTAACCAGTTTTCAATCCAAGCTGCAACAATCTGTAAAGAGACTTTATCCATCTGTAACAGGCTTCATCAATCTGTAATGAAACTTTATCAGTCTGTAACAGGATTAATCAATCTGTAAGACTTTATTGATCTGTAACATACCTACATCAGCCTTTAGCAGGATTAATCAATCTATAATGAGATTTCAGTCTTTAACAGGATTCATCAGTCTGTAACAAGACTTCATTGATCTTTAAGGGATTCATGAATCTGTAACAAAACTTCATCAATCTGTAACAAAGACTATCAATATGTAATGGAACTTTAACATCTGTAACAGGATTCATCAATCTGTAATGAGACTTCATCAGTCTGTAACAAGATTTCAAATTTAATGATATTCCTCAGTCTGTAATGAGACTTTATCAGTCTGTAACGAGACTTTATCAGTGTGTAAGATGATTCACCAATCTGTAAGATTTTATTGATCTGTAACAAAATTACATCCATGTGTAACTGGACTAATGTATTTGCTGTTTTGATTACTGTTGTTCTCTCTCGGGATTAGGTGTAGTAGAGAGTGAAAACTGTAAATTATTCAGCCTGAGTTCGAGCAGTGACTTTGAGCTTAAATAAAATGAAATAAAATGCTTTAAGACTGGAGACTCAGAGGTTTCCTGGTTATCCTTTAATCTGCCCGTCAGTTTGGTGTACTGGAAGACACAAATATAAATGACGAGGTTAATTAAAAATGGGGGGGGGGGGGGGGTAGGGACTGGCCTGGATCAACCTATTCAAGCTTCCCGAGGTTCTCCCAGAGTTACCATCAGGCCAAAAACCTGCTCGCAGGTGCACAGAGGTATTTAGGGAATAAACTGCCTTTTACCAGCTGCTTGTGAACACCTCAAGTTTGGCAGAGACACTTTTGTATTGTTTTGTGGTGGGTAGCGATTGGCATTTAACATATTGCTGCTTCTTTTATATTATGGTATACTATGATAAATTGTATACTGAGGGTCATACAACAGGTCGTGAATGGACCAGTACAAATGGAATTGGGCTTGGCAGGGGTTTGTTCAACTCTTAATTATAATTTATTGTAATTACCATTCAAACAAACATCTCCTCTGGCCAGGAACACCAAGGACCACCTGCTAGCAGAGTATGGGAGTGAGTGTGATTAAGGTGAATCTTTAAACATCACATTAGTATTAACAGCATCCATTTTAATTTCTACACAGGAACACGTGGCCAGTGATGCAGGCCCACCTCTCAGAACTAAGTCAGCTCTGAGCCCAGCTGATGGGGGCACTTGGGGCAGTTCTGGAGGGACAAGCTGGAAGTGGATCCTTGTCCTTGAATTCCCTCATTGCAACTCAGAATGAGTATCAAAGGTAAAGTTACATCACCAGTCCCTATGGGTATTGGATAAACCTGGAAAAACTGTCAGTTCCGGTAAATTAAACGCTAGACTTACGCAATGCATCTGGATAATTCCTACCAGACCTCTGGCTTTAATTAATCACAACTTAATGCTTAAATAAATAATGGGCTTTAGCAAGAGAGCTGTTTCTCAGATGTCACCCTGTGGACATGGGTACATATGGGTTAGTGTTCTCCAGTGCCTGGGGGCAGTTAGCTGTTTTTGCTAAGCCTCTACTTGGCCGCTAGATCCAGATCTTCAACAGATGTGCTTTGCTGAAGGACAGTGAGTATACCTTCTGCTCATAGACACAAAATCTGCCCCAGCCTTCAGAATGCTACAGAGGTCGGCTGCTTACATAGCACATTGCAATGACAAATCTGCTGTATTTGTGTATTCTGTTTTCCACAAAAGTGAAAATAAAGGACTTTTGTTTATTAAATTATCTTTGCTGATATTATTCATTTAGACATCATGCTAAAATAATGTTAATAAATTTTGCCATGTCAGGGGAGGGTGTGTTGGAGGGTCCCATGGAGTTTTTTTTTGCTGAGGGCCCCCAGAGTTCCTAGAATTGTCTCTGTGTATGAATGCCGTTTATTGTGCCTGCCTGTGTTTACCAAAGCAGAAATTACTCACACTGCCCCCTGCAGGAGGTGCTGTGGGAGGTGGCCTGCCCCCATACCATGCCACACCTCAGGATGCCAGTGATTCCTTACTACTCTGCTCATCCCCCCAGGTCTCCGTCCCACCCAACTCCAACCATTCCGGTTTCCCTCATCTGAAAGAACTAAAGTCTCATTGGACAACCACCTCAGACCCTCCAAACACACATCTCAATGAACTGGGGGCCTGCTAGTTAGATCAGTTCCTTTCAGTTTTTTCATGGATCCGCGCCCTTCCTGTGAATACTCTCTGGGACTCTCCTCCAAAATGCTTCATGAGGTCACAATGTTGTAAGGCAGACTTGTCTGCAGACATCCCACGTGGGATTAAGTATCTGAGTTATGGCTTAACTGTCTGTGAAACAGGTTTGTCTGCAAGTGAAACACTAAAATGCAAGCCACCTTTGGGCATGACAGTGGGTATTCTGCCAACAGCCCATGCAAAAGCCAAGAATCTCCAAGGTGACCTTAAAAACCTCAGGCCAAAGTTGTGCAGCAAAAAAAAAGCTTTATCGTAAAAGAGGGCTATGAATCCAGGCAGTCCTGGGGATAAACATGTTAATCACCTTACACAGAGTGTCCTGACATTAAAACAGGCACTGGCCAGAGGTAAATCTCAATACCAAGAACGCAAAGACCGTGCTTGTGGTCTTGGCAAGACAGGTCTTGCGAACTTGCCTTCCAAGAAGGATCTTGCAAGATCACGAGGACAGAGAACGCGCCAATTGTGGATTGAGACAAATGTGTACTTACTGTTCCACAATGCTGTACACCCAGCTGGTTACCCAGGCCATAATTTTTATTGTAGTATTTAATAAATGACACATAATTCAAATGTTCAGTCTAAATGACTAATTATTCCTGATATGATTACTTGTGCTTTTTTCACAAATAAAGTTCACACTTAAAATATCCATATTTATTTCAGCTCTGCACCAACGCTACATGCGGGTGTCTACAGTTCCAGTTCAACAGTCTCACAAACCAAAGAAGTGAAAAAAGTGGGAAAATACTATCTGACAGGAACAATGGAAACGTTACTCCGATTAAAGTAACCTTGATAATGGTATGGTTCGTGCCTTCTTTTCTCATTTGGCAAGGATGCACCCAATGCATCCTTGATATTTGGGGCAAAACAAGACCAACTTCCGGGGATTTTTACCATCCTCTGATCTTGTGATTTTAGTATTGGAACTGGTCTTCGGCAATGGAACATGATGTAAAACGGGTACACAAGAACACATGTATGGTCAAGTACGCATATTGAGATTCAGCCCAGATGCTCTGGAAAATTGTGGGACAACCAAAATGTTTGCTGGGTTTCCACCTCTGATAAAATGGTACACTTCTTAATATTACCAAGGACAATACACTGTCTTCCAAAGCACTGGTTACAGTTTGCTATTTTCACTTACATTTAGACCTTATATGGGCGAATCCGTTTGTCACTGACAGAGCTCGTTATCTTCATTCTGCATGTGTTGGTCTGTGAGCCATACCTTTCCAATGGCAGGAGTTACCCTAGATTGATTTATGGACCAGCTATTCCTGTTTGACAGAACGGTCATGGACTCAATAAATTATCCTAGGTTATTAGACCAATCTGACAAGTGAAATTGTGAAGTTTTACTGCCAACATTTGAATCGGATGAAGCACAAAGGAACATAATTAGATTGTTAATCTGAGTCAGTCGAGTGCAGTGACTTCATAACTAAATTAAATATATTAAAGGCTGAAGCGCTGAATAGTTTATACCCTGCTTAAAGACTGAAGGGGATTCAAGACTTTGTTAAATTCATAAGAACAGTGTGACAGATGCTGGTCTTGGGAGCTGCTTTTATTTTCTCGGGTTAAAGCAGGGGCTATGGGTTACGATGCGATGTCTGTGATTGGAAGGTTGCTAGTTAAAATTCTGGCTTGGTGGTGTGATATGTTACTGTTAGGCCCTTTAGCAATTCTCTTAGCCCCAAGTTGCTACAGGGATTGGCAGATACTTTCTTAAAAATGAATAGTTCGTAGATAAAAGTGTCTAATAAATAAGCAAATTATGAGACCCAGCAAAAACAGCGTCAAACGGCAGGTCACCACCAGGATTTTTACAGACTTATGCAAACCACAAATGATGTCAGTCTATAGAGTAGTGGCTTGCACCAATTATATAACTTGTTCAATCAAGCACTGAAGTGCTTAAGTAGAATATAATTTTGGATATAGGCCTATATGTGCCTGCCAGGATCACGATGCCAAGATCATGTGACCCAGCTGACGGAAACTTTATGAGAAATGCATATTCTCCTCGAAGGGGCATTTTCCACTTTTAAGGTGAAGACTCATGGATATCAAGTCTCGGCGGGCTCGTGTCTGATGTCATTAACCGACTTTCTATTTTTAGAAACTTTTCCCTGTTTTCAACCTCCCAGCTCCTTTCTCTCTACTATTTTACGTAACACAACAAAGTCATTATTTTAATCGCTAAATGGCTTCTACATCACATCAGACTATCCTTCAAGAAACGCGTAATTAGCAACCTGCTTTCAACTCACAGCTTAGCAGCGACTCCTCGTGGTGGCTTAAGCGCAGTGCATGATTTTCAGAGAACAAAAACATTGGCAAGGCGTACAGAAAATGTTTCCCATGAATAATGGCCCCACTGCTCTTTAAATAGACATAGTTTTAGACAGCCTTTGATTGTTTATTTTCATGCGGTGATTATACATCAGTTCGTTCTTTTTTTCTAGAAGCGGCAGACAGTATATATTACCTGTAACCGAATTCGATCCGGTTCGGTCATTTTCTATATCTAGGCTATATATTTTAAGATATGTATTGGCGATACCTGGACACAACTTCGTGTTTTCGGTCATGTTTGTGATGACAGATAATAAGATACCTTGATATCTTTGTTAAACTGCACTCTTCAATTTCGGAATAGAATTTATTCATATATTCTTTTACTGTGGTGATTTTAAAACGTATAACAAATGTGCTCTGTAAGCTTCGCAACGCTGACACCATGTACATGCACTGGGTAATACTGGCACCACCTTTATCACAAAACTGGTGAGGGCCAGCCAGAGAAGTAACCGGAATCACAGAAATTTTCTTTATTAACTGACATTGCGGGTCACAGCATTCACCCGAGGGCTGTCACAGTTTGCACTGGGAATGTTATTCCAAAACAAAACCCCACTGCAGTGTACTCTTCAGTTCCACTCTTGAATTCAAATTAATAGTGAACAGAGCGAGCATAAAACAACAAGGATCGAATGCATCTACCCATCCACAGACACCATATAAAATATTTTACAATATCAATATACTTCTTCCTTTATCATTCGGATTTTCAGTCTTTAATTTGACACACAATAATTATTTAAGATAAACGAGATACTGAAGTCCCGTAAACAGAGGACTTTTATTTTGAAGTCACCTTCCGGAGCGTTACACTGTCACTTATGTCAGATCACTGCTGCGGACCTTACTTGCCCGGCGCTGGATCCCTGTAAGTCATATACTCGTCCGGCTCCTCAATGTTGCAGGGATCACATACGGAGATGCATCTCTTTTTGGTGATCGCTTTCTTCCTGACGGTCGCGACAGCCTATTACATTTACACCCCACTGCCAAGTGCGATTTCCGAGCCGTGGAAAGTTATGCTGCTAGATGCAGGAATACGCTTCGTTGTGAAAATGGTAAGAAATACACTATACACACATACACATTTATGCATCTAGAAATGCAATTTCCCGCGCATGTTACTGAGTTTATGATGTCGGTGTCGAATATTCGTTTACAGTAGCTTACCTAGTCTAGCACGCACCGTAGGCTTCCAGTTGCCCCCATCGATTTCGAGTAGGCTACAATGTATAGACTGTATATCGCCTGTGTGTCTGTCTCTTAACAGGTTTTGCATAATCCCACAGACAGGCATCATATATGAATGAGGCTCCTTGTGAAACATCACTTCATTCTTAAACACTATTCTTACGGAAGTAGTTGTACCTACTGTAGAATGGTTCGCTATGTTGTTTGTAAAGTTATTTGTTCGGACAGGATAGAAAATGTATGTAACGTCCCCGAATTACCAGAGATAACAGAGATAAAATGATTCCTGTCCATTGATTTTAACGTCAGAATTAATTCAATTACATGAAGACCCCAGGTTAAGTCCCATCCGAATAAGGCTTTACTGCGGGAAACACTTAGTAATTTTTTGTGCGGGGGGTACGTCCTGTCAGCCCAGATCTCCATCACCCCCACGGCCACCTCAGGCCAAGTCCTCACCTGCCTGAACTATCAAACACTCCGTAATCCTATTTTGGCGTTTCTGGAGCCGCGGACCTAATCCAGTCCCTCTAATGTTATTCAAAGAGCACTTATTCATTCCGTGTAGGAACATAAATAATACGGGAGGATGCAGTTCTGACATTTATGCCCGAAGGCATATTTAATCACGAAACGCATTTGACCAGTTTTACTGGTTTCCAGTGGACAAATTTAATGGTTTGTATTACCAGCCAGCTGTTCTCTTTCAATGGAAGGGAGTGATTCTACTGGTGAGTAAAGCAGACCAGTGTAACTGGAAACCAGCTGGTAATATGTTGTGCTTAACTGGTAATATACTTTGCTTAACATTGTGAATCCCTTGCATAAATAAATGCCTATCTTGTTCATATTAATTTTGTCCAAGGTTGTAGTATTGGGTACGGATGGTAGGGTCACTTCTGTACCGATATTGTGGGACATGGGGTTTGGGGATAATTTTGTCCCAACCAGTGTTGAACCCAGACCAACACCCTTGATAATGTCACCAGGTTCACCTCATTTTGCCTGATTATGTGTACACAGGGATAATTCCCCAGCTCAAAAGTCTTCCTGCTAGTGTAGCGGAAACTAAAACTCTGGGTTCCTTTAAATCAGAGCTAGATAAGATTTTATCAACTCTGAGCTATTAGTTAAGTTCTCCCCAAATAAGCTTGATGGGCCGAATGGCCTCCTCTCGTTTGTAAGTTTCTTATGTTCTTAAAAGAAGTTTAAGTCTTGCAACATTTAATTTTCCTGAATTCCACCCTGTTTTTTTAATTGTGTGCGTGTTTGTTCTTGTGTGTATGGGAGAGGGGAGACTGTTTGGCTTGAGGGTGGCTGACTGGGTGACAGCAATGCTGACACATTCTGGCTAAGCCACGACCCTCCAGGAACAGTCAGCTGATGCAGCCATCCAACCTCTTCAGCTCTACACACACTTGCAGGAATTTGGACTCATAAATCACTGTGGAGACCATGTGACTGATCATGTGATCTTCCCCTCAGGGATACCTTGTGGACGACCTTGGCCTCAGTCACCACACCCGGGTTCTGAACTTTGCCGTGGACCACCTGGAAGTTCTGGCCCCACATTCGAGTGAGGGGGTGTCCGTCAGTGACACTGTCTTCGCTGGGCTCCAGGTTCGTGTGTTCGAGTCCACCCGGGAGCTGAGGGGGCAGCTGAAGAGGGGCCTGCTCTACTTCCATGGAGGGGGATGGGCGATAGGCAGCGGCAGTAAGTGGAAAGGAGAAACCACAACAAATATAGGTGATGTGGAATCTTCTTTACTAACCCTGACCCCCCATAAACTGGCAACATATAACCTTCCTTACTAAACCCCCCCTCCCCACACATGCGATGTGGAACCTTCCTTACTAAACCAACTGCCCCCCCTCCCCACACACACAGAGGCAATATAGAACCTTACAAATAATAGCAACAATAATGACAATATTTTGCTGTGCTGCCTTCAGTCCCTCAGGAATGTGATTCTCTGTCTCAACAGGGATGCGATCCTATGACCAGCTGTGCCGCAGGATGGCCCAGGAGCTGGACGCGGTCATTGTGTCCGTTGAGTGAGTGCGTCCTCGCAGGAGATGCACTTTTCTCTGCTTGGGGCCTGGTTGGTGACATCATGCTGACCCATTCCTCTGTGCCCTTTGCAGTTATCGCCTGGCTCCGGATGTGGTCTTCCCAGGTCAGTACCATGATGCCATCCAGGCCGCCTGGCACTTCCTGCAGCCTGAGGTTCTGGCCCGGTACTCGGTGGACCCAGGCCGGGTGGGTGTGACCGGGGACAGCGCCGGGGCTAACCTGGGTGCCGCAGTGGCTCATGAGGTCAGTCACGTGTTGCAGCAAAGACCTTAGGATGAGGGCCAACAAAGTCCGCTAAGTCTCTCTGGCCTTCATGTGATCCAAACATGCTAATCTCTTGGCAATAGGAATTACCTATTACAACCTATTACAACCCCTTACAACCCCAGCTCCCCACTTTTTGGCAACTATTTCTAGATAGAAAGTTTTTAGATTACCAAATCTTACCTTTATAAATAAAAATAATTTTATTTGACAAGAACATATAATAAGTTAACCAGCAACCACAGCTTAAAAAGCAACCACAGCTTAAAAAGCAACCACAGGCAATCATTACAAGTGTATTAAACAACAAGCTTATTTGGGAGGGGTGCAGAATGTTATCAATGCAGCAGACCCACCTGCAGAGGGTAAAACAAAAATTTGCGGAGAAAGGTTGGGCCATATTAATAACTGATATGGCAGCTCTTTTAAAATGAATGTCACTGTATTAATAGATACTATCGGTTTAATACTAGCAGCGGCACAGCCAGGGAAGCCAAGAATATAAACGACAGTCAGGGAAACACGCTAAACACACGCATTGCCAGGGCTGCCAGCTCTCACACATCTGGCATGATGCTCACACTGTCAGACTCTCACGTTCCCGCAAGACATCTTATGGCAAATCTACATTATGATAAGTCAAAACACTCATTACAGAATATTGCATTTGGCGCCATCTATTGCCTTGAATGTAAGATGAGACCATGTTTGCAGATGTATTTTGAGAAAAAGAAATTGGCCCAACACGACATAAATGAATACAGGCTGTTCTCGATTAACATAAGTAATCGTTCAACAAATCATTACATACTGTAAGTCGAAATTCCACCCCCCACCATACTATTCAACACATCTTACAGCAAAAAACACATAAGCCAAAAATATACAAGTAATCAAATAAATATATTTTCTCTATTATTGCTGATTCTGATGACCAGCTAACCTCTGGTCTCCTGTACTGGTTATCAATATTGGTGAAATTAGGCAAAATATGTATTGGTTACCAGTACAGGTCAAAATATCCATATCTTGCCCATATCTTGGTTTTATTTATTATTCTGGATATTTTTCACAGAAGCCTGAATTTACTGAAGTCAGTTTTATGTCACTTGCGAGCTGCCTTTATATTATTTACAGATGTTCTCCAGTTGATCTCGTCTTTCCAAACAGGTCGCTATGGACTCCCAGGCACCAATCAAGTTCCGGGTGCAGGCCCTGATCTACCCAGTTCTGCAAGCCCTGGACTTCAACACACCTTCCTACCAGCAGAACCAGGCAGTTCCCATACTGTACCGCCCCCTCATGGCCCGGTTCTGGCTGGAATACCTGGGCGGAGACCCGAGCTACATCCAGCCCCTGCTGGCTAATGACCACGCAGCACTGGACGTGAGCCAGCTCACCTCGCACCGGGACAAGCTGAACTGGACCCGGCTGCTGCCGGCCACAGTCCGCAAGAACTATGAGCCAGTGGTACCGCTGAGGGGCTCTGTGCAGATGCTGGAGGAGCTGCCAGGCCTGACTGACCCACGGGCAGCCCCGTTGCTGGCTGAGCAGGAGGTGCTGACCCAGGCCCCGCCCACCTACATCCTGACATGCGAGCACGACGTGCTGCGGGATGATGGCCTCATGTATGGGCGGCGCCTGGAGGAGGCAGGAGTGGCCGTCAGCTACGATCACCATGAGGATGGTTTCCATGGCTGCCTGTCCTTTGCCTTCTGGCCCGCCTACCTGGAGGTTGGAATAAGATGCGTGCAAAACTACATATGCTGGTTGGGTGAAAATCTGTAAACAGGTCTACCCATCCCCGCCCACCTCACCTGACTGCACCCTACCCTGCTGAGCCCCACCCATGCAGGACACGTCGCTGTTGGTTTACAGAAAAGCTGGTGTGTGGTCTCATGGTGCTGGTTAAAATATTATAGTCACTGCTTTTAAGAGTAACTGTGGACTTATTGAGATTGTGGGTTGTTTAAATGAGAGAGAGAGAGAGAGAGAGAGAGAGAATGAATGGGGCAAAATCTGTCAACATACATTACCAAGAAAAACGTATCACCTCCGACTTTAAGGACTCACTTTGAGTTTCTACCTATGTATATCTTTTTTTTTTATAAAAAAAAACGTCTTCACAAAGAGTACTGAAATGCAATGTCTACTGGCAGCTTCTTCTTTTAAACATGATTAACACAGACACACTGCATAAACTCTTCAGCCTGAGAACTTGCTGTACAAGATCAGAGAACAGCGAACTCAGACATTCCTTTTTACGCGGCTCTGTTGCTTTCGGTTGCCTTGTCATGTGACCAGTGTCATGTGACACCTCCAAGGTACGACTAGAATGTTTACATTTACAACTATGTAGATGACCCAGGGTTTGATACGAAAAGATGTGTGCATGTTTTAGGATTACATATGAACAGTATTTATATGTAATCTAATTTAATTTCTTCTGGTGTTCCTTGAAGCTGCATAGTGTGTCATTTGGTCTATGGATTCAGGAATGTATCAGAAGCAGATTGTGAGACAGGCATACTTGGGAGTACAGGCAATCATTTCTGCAGTGACACAGCATGACAGAGACCTTGCAATGGTGATCACACTGGAGACAGGAGCATGCCAGGTAACACTGATCCCAGCAAGCAGACATTACAATCACTGAAGCTTTTTTCTTCTTTTTTTTCTTTACAAAACTCTTCGAACCATGATGAAAAAAGCTGTGAAATTTGCCACCGGTATGTGTGACTCCTAAGAGCCGCTATAAAGCTGTTTGTTTGAACGGCTGTCCTTTGGGCAACCTAGATGGCACCCCTGGAATTAAAACAACAAAGTGCATTGTTTGGACGTGGTGGCATATGTGAGCCGGGTTGGATGTGGCAAAAGGAGCTATCCGAGGTTGCGGAGCAATCGCAGTCGCTGCCATTTCCTTATTCACGTTAATAATAATAATTTAATAGCAAGAATCCCAGGCTGGTGATAGTAATCTTTTGCAATCTTCTGTTCATTATTACCTAATCTTTTATCTGGGATCTTTTGCCACATGAATGTAAACATAATTCAGCTGCACCAGCGAAGGTCAGTAAAGATGTAAACTCCGGCAGCCTTAATAAATAACGTCAGCCACAGTGCTCAGCCGGTGACCGTGGATGGCCGGACGCTCTCAGGATGCCTTCAGCATGGTTAAAAGCCAGGGGTCGCTGTTGCCGTGGTGATCTTACTCTTCATCCAGAACCACAGAATGTCAAATCTCTTTTCAATAAAACAAAGAAGCTGTAAAATTCAAGCTAAATTGTTGTGTTTTTTTTCACCTTAAGACGGAGATCAAAGCATAACTCCCAGCTGGCTTGTTTATTTTGCCACTTGGAATTGGCCCTAAGACCCATGTTTTTTAGAAGAGAAAGCCTGGATATGTCATGTTCTGGAAAAAGCCAGGAACTTCAGCCCAAACCCTTCCTGTTAAACATTTATTGTTTTGCTCTCTGCATGTGGGGACCCGCCCCATGAAGCACCCACACCCATCGACACACGCGTGCACCCCCACTCAATGAATAAATAATTACGAATCATTAGTATTCATAAATATATCAAAAACCACAGTAATGTTTCTATAGTTGTAAATATAACACACTGCATAGGACAGGCAGGTATAAAAATGAATCGAAGGAGGGGTGTTGTGATTGATGTATATGTAGATTTAGTCCCACGAACCAGAGACCGTAAGAGTTTAAAATGAAAATGTCCCATGTACACAAAGAGCCCTTGCACCATTATTCCTGCATGTTGGGTTTCACTATGGATCCAGTGCAACACAAATACGCCCGATTAGCCTGTGGAATGAAGGGGGGCTGGATGAGCTCGTTCGTGTAGTGTCCTGACTGCATTGCTCCCTAGGGGAGCTGTTCCTGCAGCAGAAACACAGGCTGGAGGCATCAGTACCGCTGGGCACAACACACGCATAGCGGTGCGTGAATGCTGGCCTTGTCACGTCTCACTGCCACCCCCTCCTGGCGGCGTGCCAAACTGTGGGTGTAACTCAGGCCCTTTGCTCCATGTTTCTATTGTTTGTGGGGAAACGGAACTTGTGAAAGTGAAAGTGCGCGCAACCCCCCCGCTGCACCTTGGATTGCTAGGAGGAACACGCCTCAGATGGGCCAAGTTTGCAGATTCGATTGCAAAACGAGGAAGTTTCAGGGATCAGGACCGGTCATGTCCTGCCTGAATGTATGCATATATGATTATTGATTGATTGCTGTGTGCCTTAACACACAGTTATTCTTGGGACTGGCTGCCCCTGCTTTTTCAAAAACTAAGAGTCTCCTCAATAAATAAAATGTAAAGTAAAATGCAACAATAACACGCCCACTCTGACGCCCACCGCAGCAGCTGGATGCTGGATGACCATGGGGCCTCACGGCTTGAGCCAAGAGCTCTCTGCAGGACGTGGATTACCCCCCACCCCGCGCGCTCCCATGAGAATGACACCGCCCCTCCTCTGTGGCCACTGCGCTCTCCGAAAGCAGCGTGATCTCATGAGAAAGCGTTAAGTGCATCTGGCTTGTGTTTATTAATCGATTTTTTATTATTATTATAGTGGAATCACACAGATGTTGTTGTTGCTCCAGCCGGTTCCTGAGAAAACTACTGGCATTTGGAGGTAATGATGTGTGACAAAACAACTGGCACACAAGCGTGGTACTCCCGGAACCGACACCTCGTTTTCCATCGAAATCCAACACTACAGGTAACCGACCCCCCGTTGCTTTACAGCTGTTATCAGTTATCATGCGTGACCCCCGCAGACACTGATTAACACCTTTTTTCTAACGCGCATTCATCTGCCGCTTCGAATACACGCTTGTCAGGAGCAATAACAGACAGGGGTGGCACAATGTGAAGAAAACGGACTTACTAGCCGAATTCAATAAGAAACGGGTCGAAACCACCCGTAGAAAAAAACCCTACCAGTGCAAGTTATTCAAAGCGCCTGGGAAAGGCGCCCGCGCAGAAAAGCGCTGCAAAATCACAAACGGCTCAATGCAGGTCTCAGGAAAACATGAAACCTGATACTAGATCTGCAGTGACCTGACAAAGGCAAGCCCGCCCCCTTGTGTGTGCGCGTCGTGTGCGGGGGCGTGAGTGTGTACATTGCGCTTTTGAAAGACGCGAAAGGCAGGATCCACCTTAACAGAGCACACCCTTTCCCTGTGCCAGCGAAAATAATCCGCGCCAAGTGAACTTTGCTTTTTTGGGAAAGTCCCAGATATTTATCCGTCCCGACTGGATAACTGCCTTTTTCCCATCTCACGGCTCCAGCCCGTTCGCCCTCTGATTGTACTTGGGACCAGTGTTTATATAAACCAGACCTCAAATCAGCCAGATCTGCTGGGTTTGCAGAAAACCCTGCACGACTCAGTCCGAGGAAACACCAAGAGTCATTAAAGCAGCCCTAGCAGGAGAAAGACGCCGCAATATTCCTCAAGGTTATGACAAGATGTGCATGTCATTCAGACAAACCGATACTAGTTCCTTTTGGAAGTATACGTCACCGTCTAAATGACACGATTAGTAACTTAAGAAACTTCCTTTTCGCGAACATTTCGTTAGGGGATCCTCAACGTGTAAACTCCCGTACTTCAACCAACAAGGAAGTAGGTGGTAGCGCAGGTAATCACACTAGACAATAATCCTTCTTGGCCCCCTTCTTAGATAGCATTATTCTTTTTCACATATACCTATTCTGTATTAGTGGCATTTTGATGTCTAATTAAGTTGCATAGAGGTATGAATCTATTACACCGAATACTTAAACATTAATTTAATAAAATGGAGAGGTCATTTTTATAGATCTTATTCGTTATTTTCTACCCCCGACATAGAAATCAATGAAAATATTTGGGAAATAGACACTATATACAACACCAGTGACATAATTATGCTCTTTATGAACATGATGGGATACCCTTGACATTATTAGGGCGGGTTACCAAGCGCACTGAAACTGAGGCGCAACACCGATCTTCTGCATTTATAACTGGATTACCCATCATAAGAACACCGATGCAGTGAAATACAAAACAATCCCTTCCTTATCGGAAAGAGAGCAGGGCGGCCGTCCTCTTCCCCGTTCCTCGGCCAGGCTCCGCCTCTGCCCGCCGCTTCCATATTTACTGCCGCGGGAGGCACCGCCGCAGCTTTGGTCCCGGTGCAGCAGCGGTCAGAATGACCGGCTCCGGCTCCATGCAGTGCCTGGGGTTCTTGCTCCTCGCCGCCGTTCTACTGCAGACCGTCGCGGTTGCCGTCACCTTCATTTACTTCAACAACGTGTTGGCAACGGTAAGGGGGGGGGGGGGGGGGGGGAGGGGGGAGAGACATGCATGATTTCAGCGCTTATTTGTGGGGGGGAGTATACGACCTGTTGCATATCTAACATGCATGACCTGTCATGCAATAAAAGGAATAAATTCGAAATGCAAGAAGTAGCGGGTGCAATTACATGACCCATATGGCCGATGAGCCTTTTGGCGGGGTGGAGGTGTGTTGGCGCTTGCAGGAGTTTGCGCTTGGATATTGTTGTTTTTTTTAGTTTTATCCCACCGACAGAATTGCTGGAATGCTGGCAAACGTGTGGTATCGGTTATTTTTAGTTTGGTCGTTTGCATAAAAACGCTGCAAGCTGCTCTTTTTCGCGCTACCTTTAGTCATGCTGGACACTTTCCAGCATCCGAGCCGTGAGCTAGAGCGATTTAAGGCGGACTGGGCTTAAGACATAAAAGGCTGTGGAGCTACACTGCCGACGGTCCTCCGAAGAAACGAGAGTTAAACAGTAGAACTTGGTGCAGTACTTTCGGTTTCAGAGAAAAACACAACTGTTTTCCCCAGTACTGTACTATATTTATGTTATCATTAAGACAAGGTAAACGTTATCGATCCCAGGGGAAGATTCTTTAAATTCTTTACCGTACTATTAGCTTAGGCAATTACAGTTATCTCGGAAATATTGTGTTAGTAAATGTCACGACAAGATAAGTTACAGATACGTACCAGATAACCAGTTACAGTAACTGAAGAATACACACAAAACACTTAATAACAGCTATAACCAAAGTCCATCACCGCTTTACTAACACATTGATTTTGATGTAAAAAAAACTACCGAATATCGTTTATATTTCCTAAAATAAAAGGTTTAAAAAACCATAAGGACTGCTGTCAAAGAGTAAACGGCGTTTAGAGTGTGGAAAGACCTCATATGGGATTAGTCACACTGTTGCAGGGTGAAATAACAGCTAAACGTGTTTCTTTGATGTTAATATATATATATATATTTAATGTGTATATATATATATATATATATATATATTAACATTAAAGAAACGCGTTTAGCTGTTATTTCACCCTGCAACAGTGTGACTAATATATATATATATATATATATATATATATAATTATAATGTATTTTTTTTATTATTATTTTTTTTAACTTCCAGATGAAGGAGACCTTCTCCCGGAGCAGCATCTCCTGTCTGATGCACTCCAACCTCCGCAACGTAAAGGGCTCGGACCCCAGCGCCGAGGCAAACGGCGATCCCTGCTGGACGGTGACTAAGCAGCTGCACTTCCTCATTGAGAAGGTACCGCGCCGCGCACAATGGGCGCTTATACCGGCCGCACGCACGGTATCTCCGCATAGCCGCGGGCGAGTCTGACAAAAGATGTTCACGTTTCCTCATTGTTCCGACTTGTTCATGAAGAATTAAGTCTTTGTATTAATAAATCCAGTTTCTGATATTTCTTACCAGACCATGTCAAATCGCTACAAGAAAGAAATATCATCAGCAGTGAAAGGTACGTTCATGATCTGAACCCCGAGGAAAAATCACTTGTGAGCATAACCCTGACAACCAAAGCGAAAACAACATCGGTGTTACCTCCCTCACAGATGAGGTGTCTCGGGTTTTGCCGTCACTGGTGATTGAGGAGCAGGAATTCCCCACTCGACCCGAGATAGCCGCTCATGTGACCGGGACCTCGATGACGGGAACCCCTGGGGTCAGACAGGGTGAGTTTGGGACCGAAACCACGTGTACCTCTCAGCTGGAAATCACCAGCTGTCAAAAACACACCCTTGGCAGAGAGAAACCCTCATTTTGCAGTGCAGAAGTTAATGCATGTAGGATTAAATAACCTCTCTGGATGTGAGCAATAAATACACATTTCTGTGTGTGATTTTTAACCAGGACCACACACACCCAGTCCTCTGAAACATCTAAATGTCGCCAGGTCCCCTGGAGTTTGAAAGAAAATAACTTTTTAAAATGTATTCACTCAGAAAGCAAACAGTGGTGGTGGGGTAGTTGATTGTCAGTGGCCAAAGAGAACATTTTTTAATGCATTTAATATGGTCTGGAGGCTTTGCAGAGAGAGCCACATGTTAGCAATAAACGGGATGTCAATTTGATGAGGATAGATTAAGTTAAATTAATGGCGGAGCCAGGGGGGCTTCAGCTGGGGGATCTATCACCTCAGCCCGTGGGGGGAGATTTCAGGCCTCACTCCCTGATGTGCTTCTCCCGTTACAGGGCTCTTCCCCCGGAAGGTTCCGGGAGAGAAGATCTGGTCATGGGAGATGGAGAAGGGCCTGGCATTTCTGCGGAACGTTGAGATGAGCGCCGGCGAGCTGGTGGTCCCACGCGCCGGGCTCTACTACATTTATTCACAGACGTACTTCCGACTCTCTGGGGTCCTGGAGGACGGAGGTGACGAGGGGGGTGTGGCCGAAGGTGTGGCCAGGGGCAAGCAGGTGCTGCAGTATGTCTACAAGAAGGTGGGCTCGTACCCGGTGCCCATCCTGCTGATGAAGAATGCCCGGACGACATGTTGGGCACCAGGGGCCGAGTACGGCCTCTACTCCATCTACCAGGCCGGTGTCTTCCGGCTTACCGCCGGAGACCATATCTTTGTGGCCGTCAGCGACCTGACTGCCCTAAGCATGGATGAGAAGTCCAGCTTCTTTGGCACCTTCCTGGTCACCTAGCATGGCTGGGGCTTGGGGCTTATTGCCCTTTATCTAAACTCAGACTGCTGCAACGCACCTCGATGGCAGGAGATAACTGTAGCGCGAGCTGAAAGAGCTTTTTATATAACTCTGCTATAGCTTCCTGTCTTTGAAAGGAGACTCAAACCCCCCTGATCTGCAGGGGCAAGGGAGGAGGGAGTCCAGTCTCCCGCGGAGGGGGGAATGGGCAGCCCAGGCCAGGTGGGAGACGTGACAGGCCCTGTGGAGCCCCCTGCATGATGGAGAGCGAGGTGTGGCAGCGAGCAGGGGGCCAACCTTGAACCTCCACAGACACTTTCTGGGCCACACCCAGCAAACGGCACACGTGCCAAAGAGACGGACTGAATCCTTGAGATTTGTGGAGCATTGACAGTCACGTATTGGTGTTCAATCTGGGGGATTAATGTCTGGAGGCTGCCTACGTTTTTCTGGTCATACTTCTTCACACACTTTCAGTAACATATTGTTATGCTTCCTACCCCCGTCATGGGGAAATTCCAGATTTACACAAATTAACACAGTGGAAATAAATATTTATGTCCCACTAAATAAGCAGGATGTGCTTGGCCGTGGTTATGGGTAGCCCTGTCTGTCCCTCCTGCAGGACGTGCAGTGCGTTGGACACCGTATGGGGAAGATGTTAAGGGGTCCTTGGCCCCTGTGAAGTGGGGGGGGGGGGGTAGACCTGTGTATGTGTATGCCAGCTGTTCACACTTCCCTTTACATCCTGTACATGTAAATACGCGTGTGCTGTAAACCAAACTTGCACAAAACAATATTTTTTTACATACAAAAATAAAGTCTTTTTCTTACGGTGATGTCATCTTTACCATCGCCTGTGACAATACAGACACTAAGGAGTGGGCATGTTTTCTCTAGATGAGAGTTTTTAGCCATGTCACCAGTAAGCAACTCCCAAAAAAACACTGTAAGCCAAGGGTCTCCAACTCCAGTCCTGGAGAGCTACTATCCAGTAGGTTTTCCATCCCACTTGGCTTCTGATGAGCCACACCTGTTCCTGGTATTTACCTGAGAGCAGCTGTGGCTCATCAGAAGCCGGGGAGGATAGAAAACCTACTGGACGGTAGCTCTCCAGGACTGGAGTTGGAGACCCCTGCTGTAAGCATTCAGATTATACCAGGGGAAGGGTCTCTTTAATTTGACTTTAATTTCTACATCATGACTGGCTGTCAGCTATCGCCCCTCCCATCAGACCCAGACTCCCCCCAGGATTGGTAGTCAGAAGCTCCACAGGCTTCATGGACCGTTGGCAGAAAGCTGGTTTGTAGACCTCCAGTATGCATTTAATGACCTTACCGAAGAGGGCTGTTCTTATGCAGTCGAATCCACCTCAGGGGGTCCTGTGGCCAATGATTGTGGCCAGTATGTAGATGTGATTGAATCCTCCCCTCTCTGTAGGCACAGCCCCGAGCTCGCCAGAGTGACACAGGTTCGAGACCCAGCTCCGGCTGTCATATTCCAGTTCTGGTGCGACCAAAACGGCCCATGATTCAGAGGAGCGGCGTCACGACGCTGCATCTGCAGCCCCCATCCCGGGAGGGAGGTGATGCAACCCTGCTGAAATAGGCCTGTGTTGAGATGGGGGGGGGAGGTGAAAAGCCAAAGATGGCTGCAGAGCAGAATATGTAGGGGAGGAATATGAAGGACTGTCACCTGCTCCTCAGCGATGGCAGCTAGGCCAGACCCCCCCCCAAGCATGCACGCACACCAAAGCCTTCTAGAGGATAGTATGGAGTTCCCAGGCCTCCCTCTTCATCATGGTAACCACTCAGACATCCCACAGGCTGCCGCACCCGCATCACCTGCATGGTGACCACGCGCCTTCCTGAGTGCCATCAGCTCAGCAGCTCTGCCATCAACTGCCAAGACCCCCCCCCCCCCCCCCCCCCCAGGAAAAGAGGACACACACAAGCACAAGGGTGTAGGGTTTTTTTCTCCCCCCATATTTTTTTTGTGGAAATATGTTACAATTATATTACAGGTTATCATAATGCCCAGAGAACGAAAAAAAAAAAATCGTCCTATAGTCAGAGACAAAAAAGGGGCACAGACGGAACAGGCAGGAGGGCCACACCCTAGCCACTCTCCAAGCAGATGATGGTCTATGTTAGAAGACTGCCAATAAATACTGAGAACGCCTGTAACTTAGCTTTAAAAATATACTGTAAAACATGGACTCATATGTATAAAACAAAACAACAAAAATACATACAAAGCACACTGACACACTCGCCATGACTGCTGGCCAATCATGACGCACCTCTCATTTGACCAAATGACCCACAACAATGAGGTCAGATCTCTCTTGTCAAAGCACTGTGATACACAAATCGCTCGTAGCAGGGGTGCTCTCTGCCCTTTGAAAGTACAGCAGTGCTGTAAGAACCGATTACGAGTGATTCATATACGTGCGCTTTAACAACTAGTTACTGTCAATACTTTAGCTGCCTTGGTTGTGGTAACTCCACTTCCTCTTAGCTTGCTCCACCCCCATGACACAGGTGGGTGGGGCTAGATGGGCAGAAAGGGGCGGAGCTCAGTCAAAGTTGACATTCAGGCCGTTGTCGAAGCCCTTGTCCTCACGCGAGCCAGCGGCCAGGAAGGAGGCAACGGGGCCACCCGCGGTCACGCTGAGGACGCCGGGGGCAGGGGTGCCTCGCACGGCGATGCTGGTCACGTTGATACCAAGCGTGAGCCGAGTCTGCTCCAGTGCCTTCTCAGGCACAGCAAAGGCCTCCAGCTTCTTCTCGCCATTGGCCATGTAGGAGTTCTGGCAGCCACGGCACACACAGTCCAGACAGGCTTTGCGATTCGAGTAGCATGGGCACCGCTGGCCACGACATGTAAGAACACTTGGGTTTTGGGTTGCTCTGCCGCACTTGCAGCCCCGCTTCTCCTGTGGCTTCTTGTAGACAGCTCTGGGGGGGGCTCCAGCCATCAGGGCCCCAGTCCCACCATTGGGGGTCCTTTCCTTCACTTTGTCCCTGGCCTTGGGGACCCCTGGCCGGGCCTTGCCATGGGCCTTCCGAGCCTCGAGGTTCCTTCGGACGCCTTTGGCAGGAACCAGCAGTGCTTTGCAAGCCTTGGGTGCTCCCCCGTTGGGCACGGCAGCCAGGGGTGGCGCTGCTGGGACTGAGAGTTCCCGCTGGGGCTCTGCGAGGATGGCAGCTGCACCTGGTGGGGGTCCCTGGATGATGCTGGAGATTGGGAGAGGCCGTACCTTCTCACTGTCGCTTTCCGACCGCGACCGTTTCCGGGTGGGTCGAGACACTGCAGAGGGCCGGGGGGTGAAGGCCAGTGATGGCTGCTGGGGGGACTCATTGGGGGATCCACTGGCAGTCCCAGGGACCTGTGGTAGGGACCTTGCCACGCCGGCGCAGCTTTCGGTACCTAGCTCCGGCTCCAAGGTTCGTAGGACCTCCTCGACAGTCAGCATGAGCTGGCCCCCGCCCTGACTGGGCTCCTCGCTGAAGCCGCAGATATCAATGCCGTCTGTAGCCAGCTCGTCCACCGCTGCTGCCGCCTGGTGGGATGCCCCATTCCTGCTGCCCCCCTCCAGCAGAGGGGGGAGGCCCCCATCTCGTTCCTTCTCAGCCGGTAACCCATTACAGCCCTGAAGCCTGTCAGGACTGTCCAGGGGGCTCCCGCCGGTGGGTTCTGGAGTCTCAGTCAGCGACTCCTCAGAGATGGACGGTGCCGGAGATGAGCACTGCAGGGAGAGCCAGAAGGTGTTGGCTTCCTCGGCGCCGAGAGACAGACCCTCGCTGAGTGTGGGCAGTAGGTCAGCCTGGCCGGCAACATAGCAGCCCAGCGGGGAGCCTGCGATGAACTCGCACAGCTTCCTGAAGCTCTCCACCAGAAGGCAGAGCTGCCGGCTTTCCTGAAACTGCTCGGGGTTCTTCCAGCAGCTGCATGGTGGCTTCAGCACCATCTTCTGGCCCCTGCAGCCTTTACACACATAATGCTGGCAGGACGAGTTGGTCGGAGCCATTGGGTCCTGTAGTAGGTTACCTAGAAATCAAGCAAAACAAACCAATAAGTCAATGGTAACTTATGGGCCGCAAACTGATCACCTAATCCTTCAAATGACTTTAAAATTCAATCGCTTGCCGCTTTATTGATGCCCACTTCCCTGGCATGGCTCTGCACAGGGTTTGTTCCCATGTAAAACCTCTTACCGCTTAACGCTAAATACGGCACCAATGGTTAATGTAAATGACAAGTATTCACCAATGTGAGGACCACGTGAGCTATGACTGCGCTGATAGCTGACAACTCAAAATCCGAACTGTCAGATATTTGCAACTGCATGATTAATATTTTAATTGCTGTTGTATGTCCCGGAGGGACTGCTTACCAAGTTAAATATTCTCAAGATTTTAATAAAACAACTCCGATTATGAAGCTTGGTATAAGCATCCCTGTCTGTAAGCGGCGCTGTGTAGGACACACTACACGCCGACACACCTGTGCGTCAAATCCAGCGGACTTCATGCCGTAAAAGCAGCTAAACAAATCCGGTTCAAACAGGCCGCTACTGTATGTAGCCACAGCAAGCAGAAAGCCGTGTGCACGCCAACCAGTCGCGTTGCCGTAAACACGGGGGGGTGCTTGTCTGTAAATAGGTTTGTGCCTGTAACTTACAGATGACCGACAGCCTGTCTGCTTCGACGCCAGTAAAATGTTAAGATGATGCAATGGACCCCCCCAAAAAAGTATTTAATAAAAACACCCTCAGTCGTCTAATCATTCCTACATGCACACAGAAGATTTTCGAAAAATATTGGCAGTCGGTAAATGCACCTGCAATGTTAGTAAACGCATATAGAATGCTGAATAAAACTTTCACTGCGCTCCCGACTTCTGACGTCAAATCTAAATTAAAAGCGAAAGTGTTAAGTGGCTGAACGCCCACTTAACTGATCAAACAAACAAATGGTGGTAAATGTATTGCGTGTTACAGAGTATGTGCGTTTTATTAAAATAACACCAACATTACTGGCATTAAGCAAACCGAACTTTACTTAGGATATTCTGAAATAGGGGATGCAGTTAAATAATAAGACTTCCTCACCGCAGACCAGGCAGGAGAGCGAGTGCCGGAAGAAGGGCAGCTGCCGGCATAGCTGGGCCAGGGACCGGGGGTCCCGCGGTTCGCACAGAAGCACCGCCCGGCAAGCCGACACGTACAGTGCGGTGGCATTCGCCGGGTTCATGGCGGCGGCGCGCCGCGTCCTCAGTGCGGCCGGGCGGCGGGGACGCGCGGCGCGACCCTAGTCACGGGGGGGCATGGACACGCACGATCCAGCGCGGCGGCGCCAGTCTCAGATACGGAAATCACAAGCTGCAATAAATGTCCGAGTCAAAGACGAAAAGGCGTTCACTGTATACGAGTGACGGAGGATCCAAAGTCGATCACACGCACACACCGGGCTGTTCGCACCCAGGGCAAACGGGCAGAGGCGTAGGTACGTGGTCACCAGTCCGGCACAGCGCTTTCCCTCTATCCATGGCACGAAAACATCCACTTAGAAAAGACCTTTGCAAGAAGCTGTTATTTTACCAGACGTCGTCAGGCTTGTCCCAAAACAGCCACGCAGCCCAGAGCAGTCCAACCACGGCGCCGGCGCTCCGCTCCTCCGGTGCACGATAAAGTTGAGCCTTGTGAACCTAAAGTGCTGCCGCTGATTTTTCCTCTTCCAGCGTTGTACCTGTCTTCTAGGATGTAAAGTCGTCCCTGTCCATCCTTTCCAGCCCACGCCTCCGATCCTGTGCACCCAATGCTTGGGAGAAGGATTTTACGCATGCATTAATTCCTCGTTTATTGTGCGCGTTTTCTCATGGCGCTGAAAAAGGCCCCTCGTCCTACGCAATCCCCCCCTTCGTCACCCGATCACAACACGCGCAGAAAGCGGAACGGGGAGCGGAAGGCAAAGCGAGCAGCGGCTACGGGATGTCACTAACAAAATCAGGCCGATTTCCTTTTCTTTGCGTTTATTCCCCGCTCCAGTTTCACCTCCCCCCTCTCTGGTACGTCCTGCTTTTCGAAACAGTTGGAGCAACGTCACTTAAATCCCTCTTCCATTTCCGCTCTTGTTTACAAAGCTCATGTTTTCAACGCCATCCGTATGACGTGGGAAAATAATTATATCCTACTCGCAGTATAACAGACAGTTGTAACTGGGCAACTATGAAGAGCTCTCCCCTCCCTTTTCCCCCCCTCTGCATAAGACGGGTGAGCGGGTGCCCCAGTTCACATCTCGCGAGAATACGCAACTGAAATCACGCGAGAGGTCGACCCGTTCGTTACATAAACGTTTTTTTTTTTTCGTTTTTATGCCCTTTATAATAAACTTCATGACGGGAAAGGACTATAAATTTTAAAGCTAATTAAACAGTTTTCTTTATTCTGGTACTGAAAATATTCGGTTGATGTGTAAATGATGATATTACGGATTTTCCTTGGTGTATAAAACTATATAAATCCACTGACCTTACGGTATAATTACTTTAGTAGTGCTGCAATAAACAGTTATGTTATAAACAAATGTAACCTAATCGATACAATTGACTTTGTTCCATTAAAGACAACGTGCGATTAACTCAAATTAAGGCTGAATTTGAAATCGCGTTTGGTCTTGTTGAGTAGGCCTATATCTTTTAGTTGTTTTTTTCCTGCATAGTTTTTTTTTAATGTCACACGAATTTTTCACCAACACTGAACGAACCGAGCTCAGAAATAGCCCAATATACAAGTAATCGATGAGAAGGTAACCATAACCCAAGGTGATGCTAAAAGTGCAGTCTAGATTTCAGCAACCGCACTGACTGGTGTCCACTGGTCTCTCGAAATAAATCGTCTTTACTGTTCGCTTTTCATCTTTTATTCTAACGACACGCTTAATATTTGCTTCCATTTCCAATTTAACTGTCAAAAGACTGTATATTCTGGCCCAGATACTGATTGTCGAAATTAAAACCACACAAGAAAATTTCATTTGAACATCGCAACGAAGCTACAAATAATTAAATGATCAATTAAAAATTCGTTTAAAATAACTGTAATTTGCTTGACTGAAAAGATGCTTCAGTTCGTTTGGCTGATAATTGGCAGAAAATTGTTACAAACACTTCAACTACGTGGCACAGAAATATCACAACAATTTGAATAAACTACAGTTTGCACAAATATTATTTGTTTGGAAACTAGCTATTAAGTATACGGGTCTACTTGATATGAATAAACAGATAAAGTGTAGGCCTTTTGTGTGAAAATGTAATCTACCAGGGACAATTGCCCCCGATAACATAGCTTAAAGGATCATGGCAGCATGCAAACCCCTCCACCCCGATAAGGTGGTGGTTCATGGAGGGTTATATTAAAATTATGTAATAAGGCAGGTTGAGCACAAATTCTATGCAAATACACACCAAATGAAGCACTAGGTTTAAGCACCCTTTGCTTTCCTGCCATCGTGGATGGAATAAACCAATCTTGCTTTGTCCTGATTCTGGCTCCTGTATCTTTCGTTCCACACCCTCACAACATTCTGTCCTCTGGGTTTGAGGTCTTGTCAATTCCTTGCCCAGTTGTAGCAACTGCAAAAAGAATAACAAAACAAACAAAAAAAAACACACACATGCTGGGTACTTGTACTATCGTTTAACATCTTTGAAATCTCAACTTATAATGCATTTGTCTGGATGGCACTGAATCCATATTGGAACAAAGGAAAGCTCCAGAGATAACTGTCTTCAAAAACTGGGCAAGAAATTGATAAGACCTCAAATCAAAAGTGCCATTTTGCGAAAATGGTACAGTAAAAGTTGAACAAATTTTGTCTGGAAATTGATCGGGACTTTGCTTTTCAGAAGGTATAGGACTGAGAAATGTCCTGTCAAATTTGGCTCACAACACAATATAACATGGATTTCAAAGTGCATTTTCTTTTTAAATATTAAAGTAAGACTTGTTTATACCTTATGAGAAAATTCTGAGATATGATTTTGGAATATTCTGAGATATATAGCTCACATAAGCAAATGTACATAAAACCATGTATGACAAAGTGCATTTTCTTGAAAATGGTACAGAAAAAGTTTACCAAATTTTGTTTGGAAATTGCCTACTATCTTGCCTTTCAGAAGGTATGAGTTGTTTATACCTTATGTGAAAATTATGAGAAATAGCCCATCAAACTTATAACATGGATTTAAAATAGCATTTTCTAGGGAATGGTACAGTAAAAATTGAACACATTTTGTTTGGACCTTGCCTTTCATATGCTATATGACTTGTTTATACATTATGGGAAAGTAAGAAATTAATTGTATTGAAGTACATCCTATACTTCGTGTGTATGAGTATTCACCATCTTTGTGTCAAACAGAGTGCGAATTACCCCTCCATAATTGGGGGGTACTGCCTTCATAACACTTCTATGACCACAGTGGCGACTGGCCCATAGGGGGCGCTCAGGCACCGCCCTCCCAGATGTGGGGGGAATATGATATATATATATATATATATATATATATATATATATATATATATATATATATATATATATGTTTAACATATAATGTTAATAATCTAATATATGTTTAACAGAACAGTATCTGATGAAGCTTCTAAAAATGTCCATAAATATGAAATTGTAGAGTGCAGAATCAATACCACTAAAATTCAAATAATAGGGCTTATTATTAGCTAGCTAGTTTTTTTTACGTTGCCCCTATAGGTTTCACTGATAGT